GTTCCTGCCATGGAGCAGAGCGCCTCAGAGAACTTCAGAGTTACTTGTAGAAGTAACTAGAGTTCCTGCCATGGAGCAGAGCGCCTCAGAGAACTTCAGAGTTACTTGTAGAAGTAACTAGAGTTCCTGCCATGGAGCAGAGCGCCTCACAGAACTTCAGAGTTACTTGTAGAAGTAACTAGAGTTCCTGCCATGGAGCAGAGCGCCTCAGAGAACTTCAGAGTTACTTGTAGAAGTAACTAGAGTTCCTGCCATGGAGCAGAGCGCCTCAGAGAACTTCAGAGTTACTTGTAGAAGTAACTAGAGTTCCTGCCATGGAGCAGAGCGCCTCAGAGAACTTCAGAGTTACTTGTAGAAGTAACTAGAGTTCCTGCCATGGAGCAGAGCGCCTCAGAGAACTTCAGAGTTACTTGTAGAAGTAACTAGAGTTCCTGCCATGGAGCAGAGCGCCTCAGAGAACTTCAGAGTTACTTGTAGAAGTAACTAGAGTTCCTGCCATGGAGCAGAGCGCCTCAGAGAACCTCCAGTTACTTGTAGAAGTAACCACAGCTCCTGCCAGGGAGCAAGGCGCCTCAGAGAACCTCCAGTTACTTGTAGAAGTAACCACAGCTCCTGCCAGGGAGCAGAGCGCCTCAGAGAACCTCCAGTTACTTGTAGAAGTAACCACAGTTCCTGGCAGGGAGCAGAGCGCCTCAGAGAACCTCCAGTTACTTGTAGAAGTAACCACAGTTCCTGGCAGGGAGCAGAGCGCCTCAGAGAACCTCCAGTTACTTGTAGAAGTAACCACAGTTCCTGGCAGGGAGCAAGGCGCCTCAGAGAACCTCCAGTTACTTGTAGAAGTAACCACAGCTCCTGCCAGGGAGCAAGGCGCCTCAGAGAACCTCCAGTTACTTGTAGAAGTAACCACAGTTCCTGGCAGGGAGCAGAGCGCCTCAGAGAACCTCCAGTTACTTGTAGAAGTAACCACAGTTCCTGGCAGGGAGCAGAGCGCCTCAGAGAACCTCCAGTTACTTGTAGAAGTAACTACAGCTCCTGGCGGGAGTAACTCGGTGCTCCAGTCCAAATATAATTAAAAAAAGGTGTATCAGTGGAATAACATAGATCAGTGTCAAAATATTAATAGGAACGTTGGAGGAATTAATTACTGGCTATTTTTGTGCTCGCCAAAACGAGTGATTACTTTTCCGGCCGTCAGGTAAACTTTACCAGAAGGGCCATTAGGTACACACAACGAGGAGTAAACTCCTGCCAGGAGTGCCAGGAAGTAAACTCCACCAAGAGTGCCAGGAAGTAAACTCCACCAAGAGTGCCAGGAAGTAAACCCCACCAAGAGTGCCAGGAAGTAAACTCCACCAAGAGTGCCAGGAGTAAACTCCACCAAGAGTGACAAGAAGTAAACCCCACCGAGAGTGCCAGGAAGTAAACCCCACCAAGAGTGCCAGGAAGTAAACTCCACCAAGAGTGCCAGGAAGTAAACCCCACCAAGAGTGCCAGGAGTAAACTCCACCAAGAGTGCCAGGAGTAAACTCCACCAAGAGTGACAGGAAGTAAACCCCACCAAGAGTGCCAGGAAGTAAACCCCACCAAGAGTGCCAGGAAGTAAACTCCACCAAGAGTGCCAGGAAGTAAACCCCACCAAGAGTGCCAGGAGTAAACTCCACCAAGAGTGCCAGGAGTAAACTCCACCAAGAGTGACAGGAAGTAAACCCCACCGAGAGTGCCAGGAGTAAACTCCACCAAGAGTGCCAGGAAGTAAACCCCACCAAGAGTGCCAGGAAGTAAACTCCACCAAGAGTGCCAGGAAGTAAACTCCACAAAGAGTGCCAGGAAGTAAACTCCACCAAGAGTGCCAGGAAGTAAACTCCACCAAGAGTGCCAGGAAGTAAACTCCACCAAGAGTGCCAGGAAGTAAACTCCACAAAGAGTGCCAGGAAGTAAACTCCACCAAGAGTGCCAGGAAGTAAACCCCACCAAGAGAACCAGGAAGTAAACCCAACCAAGAGTGCCAGGAAGTAAACCCCACCAAGAGTGCCAGGAAGTAAACTCCACCAAGAGTGCCAGGAAGTAAACCCCACCAAGAGAACCAGGAAGTAAACCCAACCAAGAGTGCCAGGAAGTAAACCCCACCAAGAGTGCCAGGAAGTAAACCCCACCAAGAGTGCCAGGAGTAAACTCCACCAAGAGTGCCAGTTGATGATGTTATCTGATAATTTACTGCTGTGGCTCTAGTGGCCCTTACGCTGTCTTATCGGCCAAGCTTTGTCAGGGTATGCTCGGCCAAGCTGCACCCGTCCTCAGAGAATGCTCGGCCAAGCTGCACCCGTCCTCAGAGTATGCTCGGCCAAGCTGCACCCGTCCTCAGAGTATGCTCGGCCAAGCTGCACCCGTCCTCAGGGGTATGCTCGGCCAAGCTGCACCCGTCCGGCTGGGGGGGAGATTAACGAGCATTTGGCCTTTGGATTAACGAGGGTTTGATAATTAGGCCTTGTCAACAGAGCTTCCTGGTATACAGGCCTCTCGCTGAACGCTTTAAGATGACTCAGCAGTGCACAGTAAGCTTTAAAGCTGACTCAGCAGTGCACAGTAAGCTTTAAGCTGACTCAGCAGTGCACATGAGTAAGCTTCGGCTCATCCTCATCACTGGCCCCTCTTCCCCAGCCCGTCCTCATCAACACGGACCAAATGCTCGTTAAACTAACCACCTAAACTCAATTCATGATTGAAAATCTCTTTACATACGACTCACAACTGATGACGTTCGAACATTTCTCGAGCAGTGCTTCGCTGACGCCCTACATCGAACTCCACTCAGGCCTCAGTGGCCTCGGTGGACGCGCACTCTGAGGCCTCAGAGTGCGTGACACCGAGACCTCAGAGTGCGCGTCACCCAGGCCTCAGAGTGCGCGACACCGAGACCTCAGAGTGCATCACACACACATACACACTAAGAGTACAAGTCACTAACCTAGAGCGAAGCCGTCTTTGGTCCACTGGGCGCGCCCCTGCTGGTTGTCCACCACACACTTCAGGGTGACGTCCTCCCCCTCCCTCACCTCCACGCTCTCTGGACGCACCCGGAACACTTGCACCTCTCCTCCAGCACCTGCAACACATAAGTCAACAACACTTCTGACAGTAGGGGGGGGGGGAGGGGTATACTGACATCTGCAACATGAAGGTCAGCAACACTTGTAACTCAAAGGTCCACGTCACCTACAACATAAGACAACATTAATATGAAATACAACAAGACACGCAACTTGCAACTTGTGTTGAGGGCGTACCGCTCTTGTGTTGCAGAGAAAGTGTTAAAACAAATATAAATACGCTTAATTTAAAGCACTTCACAGGACGCTGACAGGATAAGTTCCGCATGAAGACACACACACAGAGCCAGCAAGTGCCACACACACACACACACAGCCAGCAAGTGCCACACACACACACAGCCAGCAAGTGCCACACAAACACACACACACACACACAGCCAGCAAGTGCCACACACACACACACACAGCCAGCAAGTGTCACACACACACACACACAGCCAGCAAGTGTCACACAAACACACACACAGAGCCAGCAAGTGCCACACACACACACACAGCCAGCAAGTGCCACACACACACACACACAGCCAGCAAGTGCCACACACACACACACACAGCCAGCAAGTGCCACACAAACACACACACAGAGCCAGCAAGTGCCACACACACACACACAGCCAGCAAGTGCCACACACACACAGCCAGCAAGTGCCACAAACACACACACAGCCAGCAAGTGCCACAAACAAACACACACACAGCCAGCAAGTGCCACAAACACACACACACACAGCCAGCAAGTGCCACAAACACACACACACAGCCAGCAAGTGCCACAAACACACACACAGCCAGCAAGTGCCACACAAACACACACACTACCACCAAGTGCCACATACACACACACACACCCAGCAAGTGCCACACACACACAGCCCGCAAGTGTCACACACACAGCCAGCAAGTGTCACACAAACACACACACACAGCCAGCAAGTGCCACAAACACACACACAGCCAGCAAGTGCCACACAAACACACACACTACCACCAAGTGCCACATACACACACACACACCCAGCAAGTGTCACACACACAGCCAGCAAGTGTCACACACACACAGCCAGCAAGTGTCACACAAACACACACACACAGCCAGCAAGTGCCACAAACACACACACAGCCAGCAAGTGCCACACAAACACACACACTACCACCAAGTGCCACATACACACACACACACCCAGCAAGTGTCACACACACACAGCCAGCAAGTGTCACACACACACAGCCAGCAAGTGTCACACAAACACACACACACACAGCCAGCAAGTGCCACAAACACACACACAGCCAGCAAGTGCCACACAAACACACACACTACCACCAAGTGCCACATACACACACACACAGCCAGCAAGTGTCACACACACACACACACACACACAGCCAGCAAGTGCCACAAACACACACACAGCCAGCAAGTACCACACAAACACACACACTACCACCAAGTGCCACATACACACACACACAGCCAGCAAGTGTCACACACACACAGCCAGCAAGTGTCACACACACACAGCCAGCAAGTGCCACAAACACACACACACAGCCAGCAAGTGCCACATACACACACACACACCCAGCAAGTGCCACACACACACACACACACACCGCTACACTTTAACAAACACAACACTGCAAATTGCCAGTATATATATTTCTGTGGTCGCCAGTGAACAGGTGATAATGAAGAGTGTAATTAACTTAATTACTTTGAGGGAGACTGCCAGCTGGTTCAGGCAGGTGGTGGTGGGGGGGGGGGACACCACCTACCTTACTGTAGGTGGAGGGGGGGCACCTAGACACCACCTACCTTAGTGTATACAATGTACAATTGTTAGCAATTTATTTACCATTCTTATAATACTCATCTACTAACCCCATAATCTACCATTATAATCCTTATCTACCGAACCTATAATCCACCTATTCAATATAATCCTAATATAATCCAATATTAGATTATATTAGCATTATACAATTTCATAATATAATATATTTATCACCTAATATAATTTTTAATGTTGAAATCGTCTCGTGGTGGAGAGCTAGATAAGAATATGGCGGCTGGTTAGGTACAAAGAGCTTATGATATAGTGTTGTCTCCACCTCCGTCAGTATCTCAGAAAGTGTCAACAATGTAGCAGCTACAGCTAATGTTATTAAGACCGTAGCTCCTGTAATATATAGTCTTGCAGTCAGGGCTCTTTCCCCCCCCCCCCCTCCCTACTCGTGAGGTCCTGTCATCTGTCTATTGCTGTCAAGGACCCCCGGGAAGCTGTCAAGGACCCCCTGGATGCTGTCAAGGACCCCTGGAGGCTGTCAAGGACCCCCTGGAGGCTGTCAAGGACCCCCTGGAGGCTGTCAAGGACCCCCTGGAGGCTGTCAAGGACCCCCTGGAGGCTGTCAAGGACCCCCTGGAGGCTGTCAAGGACCCCCTGGAGGCTGTCAAGGACCCCCTGGAGGCTGTCAAGGACCCCCTGGAGGCTGTCAAGGACCCCCTGGAGGCTGTCAAGGACCCCCTGGAGGCTGTCAAGGACCCCCTGGAGGCTGTCAAGGACCCCCTGGAGGCTGTCAAGGACCCCCTGGAGGCTGTCAAGGACCCCCTGGAGGCTGTCAAGGACCCCCTGGATGCTGTCAAGGACCCCCTGGAGGCTGTCAAGGACCCCCTGGAGGCTGTCAAGGACCCCCTGGATGCTGTCAAGGACCCCCTGGAGGCTGTCAAGGACCCCCGGGAGGCTGTCAAGGACACCACCTCCCCGTGTTGTCCTCGAACTTAAAGTACGACATTTCTAGATTTGTTGACATAATTTTCATGTGATTGTTTTGACGTGTTCGATTGTTCCCGCCACAATCGTGTCTGGGAGCGCCGAGGCGCGTGCAAGTCCCTTCGTATGCAAGTACGAGCGTGTTTGACCTTTCTAAAATACGCTCCAAAATGTCTACGTATTTCAAATGTAATGTTTTCCCCACACCTTGATTTACGCATCAGTGAGAAATACCACGTATCATTTGTCACTATTCTGAGCCTGGTTGACCAGTCTAGCAACGAGGAGGGGCGCCTGGTCGCCTCTCCTCGTTGCTTTTGCTGTTGATCATGTCGCGGTGCAGTGGTGCAGGGAGCGTGTGCTTGGGTGTACCCACCAGAGCATAGGTTCGAACCCTCGTCACGGCTTCTGTTTATTTTCTCATCGATACATCACGTTAATGTCATTATCTTATGAATGTTATATTGCGCAAAGAAAACGCAAAACATATGAGAGAAGAAAATTATAAGAAAACTGTAAGCCAATGTAAGTATGTATGTATGTATGTATGTATGTATGTATGTATGTATGTATGTATGTATGTATAACTGTTTTCAGTTGCATATAGTCCTGGGGCTTGTTCGCGTATGTATGTATGTATAGTAGAGTATGGGGAAGGGATACGTGAGCAGGATAGGCGCTGTGGTGCGAGGACGGACTTACCCAACCACTCGAGCCATCGGGATTCGAACGCCGACCCAGCAAGAAATAGCAGAGCGACTAGCCGGCCGACACACTAGCCCAAGCAATCCCCCCGGAAAGGAATAACTCACTTTCCCGCTATTTACTTGGCGAGGTGTAATAAATTGTCCGGGGCCGTGAACTGGGAGATCAACAGCCATATTCAGAAGTCAACTGGATGTGTCATGAGTGACCTATGCCCCTTCCCCCCTCATAACTTGTAGCTGTGAGGCTGTGAGTGGCGTGAGTGAGCTGGGGGATCGAGCCCAGCCTCCTGCCACCCTCATTCCTCACACTGACACTTTTATCATCCTAGTAAAAGGTTCGACGCTCCCTGATCACAGCCCAGAGAGCCGAGGCTCCGAGGACAGAAGAGAGAGCACGGCAGCTGTGCATTCTTAATGATGGATAACGCTGTGAGTCTGGTGGCCGCTACTACAAGTTAGCAGTCACCGCTGACGTCCGCACACCGCCTCACTGAGCCGGTTCGAATCCCTTCATGGCTCCAATTAATGTTCTAATTTGTTTAACGATGATTATTAGTCTTGATTCGAGTTGTGAGGCTATGAGTTAGCGGCAGCCCTTGGCTTGGTGCGACTGGAGGGGTCCACGAAGGTCTTAAATACGTATATAAAATCTATAGTGCGAGGGGGTGGAGGGAGCCAGCGGCCACAGGGCCGGGTCAACACCAAACTGGCGGTGGGAATGACAGGCCAGTCGAACACAGAGAACAACGAACCACACTGCGACAATTTCCGTGGGTCATGGAAGGCAATTAAGTCTATGAATTTCTCGTGATCAATTTCGACCAATTCCAAGAACTTTTCAAGGGTATTATTACAGTAGGTTTCGAAGGTTACTTAATACCACTGAGGGTTAAAATGTAGCGGAGTGGGCGTCGTGAAATTAGTCTATAAACTACCAGTGTATTACAAGAGCTTTGTAGATTTTTAATACAAGTCTTTGTATACAAGTCTTTAGCAGTCTCCGTGGCGCAGTGGTAAGATACTCGCCTGGCGTTTCGCAAGCGCCTTGCCTTGGGTTCGAATCCTGGCCGGGGAGGATTGACCGGGCGCCAATCCTTAACTGTAGCCTCTGTTCACCCAGCAGTGAATGGGTACCTGGTTGTTAAACGATTCGGCGGGGTCGTATTCCGGGGAAATTAGGGTTAAGGACCTTGCCCGAAACACTACGCGTAATAGTGGCTTTACAAGAATGTAAACTCTTTGTACAATCTTTATCTCGTAGAGAACATGAGGATAAGATCAAACTGTAGGAGGTCAACTGACCTATGCGAGGCAGCTGCTACTTATACCTAACGGCACCCCACTCATCTAAGTGTCTAACCTTCGCTTGAAACAATCTAGCGACCTCTTGTCTATTGAGTTACTATAGTCTCATAAATATAAATCCACAATCCATTATCCAACACAGTATTTACTAAATTGTTCTGATTAAGTATTATACTATTTGTATCCCGTGTTCTGTTGTCTTGTTACATTTAGGAGCCTATTAACGTTGATACATTAAATAATAATTGTAAATAAGAAGCAATAAGATACTTATCTTAACATACTAAGAAGGTTAGGTGAGGTCGGTGTTTTCTATGAAGCTTTTCAAGGTAAACTAAAATATTCACAATCAATTAGTATGTCACATATGCACTTTTTTAATAAGCCAATATTGACTAAGAGCAAGTGCGAGAACGGGTTGCTTAAGGGTTTGATGGTGATACCCTAACATTGGGTCGAGTGCCTCAGTCATGAGGCACTCAGCCCACTTGAATTCCTCGCCTAAAGCTGCATCGTATAATCTAAATGGAGTCTAACACGTCAAGATAAAAACTGTATAATAAATCTGATGTCCTATAACTAACACTTTTTTAGATATTAATCTTAAGTGTCCGATTTATCTTATTAAAAAAAATTAACTTTATTTTCTTGGCTTGATACAAATAAAAACGCAGATATTTTTCTCGCTCGCAGATTTGACGATGTTAGCATAAACAATAGAATATTAGCTCCACGGACTTTGTTCCTTTGACCCTGAGCATATACTAATCTTGGAAAAGCTCTTTTGATCTTTCTCACGATTCGTCAAACAGAATATTTAAGCTGATACTGCTGGAAATCTTACAGTTGTCAAGCAGAATGAGCGAACGTGGACTCGATACAGGTTACCTTACCTTGAGGTTACCTTGAGGTGCTTCCGGGGCTTAGCATCCCCGCGGCCCGGTCGTCGACCAGGCCTCCTGGTTGCCGGACTGATCAACCAGGCTGTTGGACGCGGCTGCTCGCAGCCTGACGTATGAGTCACAGCCTGGTTGATCAGGTATCCTTTGGAGGTGCTTATCCAGTTCTCTCTTGAACACTGTGAGGGGTCGGCCAGTTATACCCCTTATGTGTAGTATTGCATGTACATTACATGCATGTATTGTAGTATATGTGTATGTACAGGATTACATGAAACATACAACTTCCAGGAATACCATTACAAGACTGTACCAGACGTTTGGTAGTGGCTGTACCCACCTGGCGCTGGACTACACACTGTCAACAATGTCACTACTTGCTAGCTATAAATCAGAAATATAAACGAAATCGTTCAAAGAGTTTGTGGGGGAAGACCAGACCACACACTAGAAAATAAAGGGACGACGACGTTTCGGTCCGTCCTGGACCATTCTCAAGTCGATTGTCTGTGGGGGAAGTTCTCTGGTGCTCGACCCTGATGGCTCTGGCTTCCGTAGCTTAGAACACCGTCCCACAGGAGCAACAATACAGAAATCGACGTGTTTCTTTAAAGACACTTCCAGGTTCTTTTTTTAAGAGCGTCAACCCCGAAGCTCCCTCTCTTTCTCCCTACTCATTTTGTCCCGAAAGGCGACAATGCAGGTTCCATGACCCCCGAAATAAGATCTATGATTCAGGTCATGTATATTATACATTATAGAAGTCATCAAAACGCTTTTGGGAAGTCAAAAACAAAAAAAATGACCGTGTACAAATCTTATTATTTATGTAATGTACGGATCTGTGAGCCCACTGGGGGACCTGCAGTAAAGAAAGAATAAATTATATAAACTACTCTATCATTTTATAATGTTTTATTTATTTATTTATTAATATATATATACAGGAGTCCTTACATTCTTGTAAAGCCACTAGTACACAGAGTGTTTCGGGCAGGTCCTTAATCCTCTTTTTTCCCCCCGGAATACGACCCGCCAAACTGTTTAGCATCCAGGTACCCATTCACTGCTGGGTGAACAGAGGCTACAGATAAGGATTGGCGCCCGGTCAATCCTCCCCGGCCAGGATACGAATCCAGGCCAAAGTGCCGGGCGAGTGCTTTACCACTACGCCACGGGGGGGGGACTGCATGTCTTGGATATAT